TCTGCCTATATAAACGGTATGTGCCTATGCACGTACGCGCGCGCACGCACACACACACACACACACACACACACACACACACACACACACACGCACCCCCCCAGGGTATTGGAGCAGGCCCATGCCGTACAATAGGAGCCATGTGGTGGTGGAGCAGTGCCGGGGCAGGAAGGCAGGGAACTGGCTGGGGGTTGGGTAGGGCTGCTGCTGGATCCTGCTGCTGGCTCCCTCTGGATCCTACTGCCCTTGACTCCTGTCATCTTTGACAGGCAGCCAGGAGCAGATAAATATTAATTAAAAAAAAAAAATTTAGGGGCCCCACAGGCCAGACAGAATGGACTGGCAGGCTGGATCTGGCCTGCGGGACGTATTTTGCCTGCCCCTGCTATAGGTGCTCATATGGCCAAGATCATTGTAGAATTTGAGCCCCTTAATGGCATCTTTCATGTATTTTTTTTTCCTCACTTACCCTGATCTTATTTTATCCTCCATTTTGTACATGGGAAACAGAGGCACAAAAAAAGACAAGTCCCAGATCCTCAGACATCAGGTGCCAGACTCTCACTGAAATCAATGAGATTTGAGTACATAAGCACCTTTGTGGATTTATGACAAAGGGACTTGCCCAAGGTCACACTGGAAGTCTGTTGAGCAAGGACTTGATTCTAGGCCTCCCAGTCCTGAACCCTAACTTTTTTTTCTTATACCTGAAAGCCTTTTATTGAGGCTTTACATATGGGACAAGAATCTTACTTGAAAAGCCTTATTCTGAGAGTCTTAGTCAAGATTCCTGCTTTCCCCTCTCAAGTAAAAATGGTTAACTTTTGTGAAGTAAATCATTCTGCTGCTTAAAATTGTACCATTGCAGGAAGCATAAATCATAAAAAGACCAAAATACAAACATGAAGGTTTCATTTAGACTTTAAACACCATTTTACTATAAATTGTTTTGTTCAAAAGGTAAGGTATTACTGAAGCAAAATTATTGTTTAGGTGATGAGGAAGGAAGAAGAATGTAAGTGACGTAGTTCCTCAAATTGTTTTATTAACTCTGAGAAATGTTTGTGTTTAATTTCAGGTTATTCTCAAGGAAAAAAAAATCTAGATCAAGAATTCAGTAACCAAGCAATCAAAGCTGTGCCTCAGCCCTCCTGCACAGAGTAAAAGGAAACAACAATGGGAACACAGTAACTGTAATTATCTGAAAGCTATGAATGAATGATGTAAGAATAACTTAGCAAGACAGCCATATACATGCTACTTTCTTTATAAGGCTCTTCAGAACACTGCAATCTCAGATACCAGACTTTATTGCTAATGAGCAGTATGGTAAGTAAACACAAGGAAATGTAGAGGAGTCTGGAGCATCAGAATAAAATTTTCTAGTTCTTGTCTTGTGCTCCTTACCCTGGACAAACCTCTCATCCATTTGCTCACTGTAGTAAGTGATGGTGTTTGTTTAAGGAGGTCAAGACTAGCTGCTAGTAAGGGAGGAAACTTTCTCTACAGTTAATTTCCAGGGTTGAACAACATGTAGTCTATACACCAAACTGCATCAGTTCCAAATTTTGGTCACAAGATATTAAACAAATTCACACATCTCATTTCATAATCTCTTTGTACTATATATTGTAGGAGTTGTTTTAATCCGACTTCCAGTTTATAATAATTTTCCAATTTTTTTCCTGAAAATAGCAAGTTACTATATTTATAAAGTATTCAGTTTGTAGAAGCAATTGGCTTTTTACTCTTGGTGTCTCCATATATTTTATTATGCATTAATAGAGTGAAGCAGTTTTAGGCCTATTTTAATTTTATTAGTAGTAAGGGTAGGGAAACCTAGAATTGTATTTTTAAATGTAGGTATTGCTTGTATCTATTATAGTTACTCTTCTATAGAAATCTATAACTGAATATATTGTATATTTATTCCATAAAATATATATTGTCCGAATGTCCTTGTTACAGAAGTAGGATCTTTGCTTACCATGTATTGCAAAATGTAGTAAGCTAGAGTTAGCAAAAGATCAAGCTTTGTTTGGCAGATAGTCAAGTGATAAATATGAACCAGGTATCTTAGTTTTTCTGTATTTCTTAATTTATTTTCTATTTTATTGTTGGCTAAATTTGGAGAAGCAGCATAAACTGCTACTGTTAACATTGGCATATTACTGTATAAATCAGTTTGAAAGTCAAAAGTTCAGAGCCATTTTATCAAACCAAACTGAAATGTAAACAAAAATGTCCCATTTAAGTTTACCTGCCTGCTTTTCCAAAGACTATTGAACAGTCAGAGCTGGAAGGCTGAAAGCATCCTTGACTTCAGAAGTGGTAAAAATTTGATTTCCAAATCCTGATCAATATATTGCAATTTAAAGTACCTATTATTTGAAGGGGAGCAAAAAGTGGGGAATTGTGGGGGGGCGGTGTCAAAGCCTATTTATTTTTGAAGGAGGGGAGAGTACCCCTGCAAACTCTTACATGCTGAAAACTCCCACTCATTACATTTCAGCTGGAGTTTGGGGGCATAAGAAATGCAGAACTCTCCTGAAACTATATTCTGGTTATAAATATGTAAAAAGCAAATCACCCACACCCAAACCTCTGCAAGTTTTTTTTTCAGTCTCAATTCCTTTTATTCTTTGTAGGATTTAGTCTCAATATAGAACAGATATAGCCGGGGGAAGCTGATATGCATAAATTAAAAACAAACAACCCCCTCCCCCCCACCAACTAGCCACCAGCCTTGACAGTATTCCTTTAAAATAATTTATTGCTGAAAGAAAGTAAATATGCTTTTAAAACCAAATGCCATTAAATACAAAGGAAAGGGCAAGTGGTCCTCTTAATAACACAGAATTAGAAAGTAGAGATTAACTTGCATTTTATGAAATAGCCTTGTATTATGTTTTGCAAGGTGTTTATTATTACCTCTTTTTAATTTTATTACTGTGTACCCACTTTCAATTTGCACACTTTAAAATTAACAGCCATCTTTAGTATCAATAGTGTATAAACTATTGTTATTGTTACTGCTCACGTTATAGCACATCAGTATGATTTGACTGCTGCTCTGCGAGTTATCAGAGACCAAATGTTATAGTTATTGTTAGAGAACCTATTGTACTGCATTCTTTCTGAACTGCCCTCCCCTCCCATTCATCACAATCTATATTTTGATTAAATGGACTGTGAATATAATAAATTGCAAAAATAGAATGTAATTCCTGTCCTTTTATAAATAATATCATATTCTCATTTCATTGACAAGCATTTGAAATGCAGATTAAATACAGACTGAAGTACTGTAAGGTAGATACAGTACTGATTGGATCATTGTGCTCAACATGTGGTCATCAGTGGCTCAAAGTCTAGTTGGGAGGTGGTTTCAAGTGAGGTTTCCCAGGGGTCTGTCCTGGGTTTGGTATTGTTCGATGTCTTCATTATTTATTTGGACTATTGTATTGAGTGCATCCTTAGTAAATGTACAGGTCACACCAAGTTGGGTGGAGTTGCAGACACTCTAGAGAGTAGGGATAGGATCCAGAATGACCCGGGTGAACTTGGAAAAAAAAAGTCTGCAATTAACTAGCTTAAATTCAACAAGGATGAGTGCAAAGTCCTGCACTTGGGATAGTATAATTGTATGCACAAATACAGACTAGGCAATGGTGACAAGGTCTCAGTACTGCCGAGAGAAGGATCTGGGGGATACAGTGGAGCATAAACTGAATACGAGCCAACAGGGTGCTCTTCTTGCAAAAGACAAAAACAAACAGCATCCTGGGGTGTATAGCAGGAAATTATTTTGCTCTATTC